GGGGCTGTGCCGTGCCTCAGTTTCCCCGCTGGAGCTGCTGGTACCACCCTGTGCACGAGAGGTGGCTGCTGCTCGGGGTGGGCTCCGGGCAGACCGAGGCCGAAGGCTCATCAGCCCCCCAAGGGCAGGGGGGCTAAGCTCCCTCCCGGCACTGCTCAAAGCTGCTTAGGGGAATCAGATCGTGGGGATTTGTTTCCTAGAGCACCCAGCTGGAGGGGCACTGGCCGGCTCGGCTCACCCAGGGCGGCCTCGGGGGAGAGGCTGCCTGCCCCCGTGTCCCGGTGAGCCCCCCACCACCTCCCCGGGGACCCCTCGCTGCCCTGCTGGCACCCTGAGCGATGCCCTCCTGGGTAGGGACCCCAGGGCGAGGGGGGTGTCTGTGCTTGGGGCCGCCAGTGCCGTGTCCCCCCTGCTCCCTGCCCCCATTACTGTGATTACGGGGCTGTTGCAGCCGCCACGGCAAAGCGAATCGGACAGGGCGGCCGGGGAGTGAGTGAATCAGCACGGCATCGGAGGTGCCCCAGGCACCCTCGTGTTAGACGAGCCGAAACATGCTGGGTTTGGGGTCCGGCCTGAGCCCCAGCCCCAGCTCACCGGGACTACCAGGACGGGGCAAAGCCCAGCCATTCGCCCCATGGCACAACTGCAGCTATGCCATGCCCCAGCTGAGCACCGGCCCCGCCGAGAAGGACAAACTCCAACCATGGCATCCAACTCCCCACCTGAAACCACCCTCCAGCTCCAGCCAAGCTCCCCAAACCCGGGGTGGGTGGCCGGGCTCCGGCACAGGGCTCCGGCCGGCAGCACCGGGCAGCTCTGCTATGCCGCTGGCACGGGGAACGCGGACCAGCCCGTTTGCTTCCTTCCCTGCAGGACTGGGCACGCTGTGCACCGCCAGACCCCATTAGTACTTATCCCCCATCCCGATGTCACATCCAAGTGCCGAGAGTGACATCTCCCACCCCTGGCACCCCAGTGCAGGGACAGCCCGTGGCTGGTGGTGGCATCACCCAGTGGTCCCCAGCATGGCGGCAGCTCACCGTCCAGCCGCCCCCGTCGGTCGTCATGTCGCAGTAGACCTGGAAGCCAGAGGGATAGTGCGTGGGGAAGATGGAGTAAATCCCATCCTCTTGCTGTCCGCTCACATAGATGTCAAAGCAGTCTCGGGGCCGGGAGCCTGCAGCGTGGCATCGGGATGGGGTGGGACGAGAGGAAAGCTGGTTAATTAATGATCTAATTTAATGTCTTGCCATTTCTTTCAGGCTCTCAACCTTGCTGCCAGCTCTAGTTGGCGGCGCGGTGCTGCCTTGCTCTTTCTCTCCTTTCCCCTCCGATGC